CCCCCCCAGCCTCTGAAGGGTGCATCATCTCCCCGCTCATTCGGACGTCTTCCTGCTGAACAGTTAGCAACGCGAGGGTCTCACTGCCATGGTAACGCTGTTTTCCCCGCTGTAATATTGTCAGTTATTGTTCAGGCGGAAGGCTTCTGAAGAGACTTACGCTAGTGCTGGTGTGGCTCAATTTGCAAATGTCGTAAACTCCCAACGAACCAGCCTGACGGTCTCTCATACTGGCGTTTGTTTGCGGTTTGTTGTGTGGTGCTCCTGCTTTTGAGTGTAATTTAAAACAAGTTTGGCCCTTTAGCTTTTCAGCTCAATGCCCAGAGAGAGGGACCCCTTATGTACTCAGGAATGCTCTGAAAATGCTGTCTCTATCCCCCGCAGGATCACGTTCTGCCACCTGCCCTTCCAGAGCAAATGGCTGTACGTGGGCACAGAAAGAGGAAACATCCACATCGTGAACGTTGAATCCTTCACCCTCTCAGGCTACGTCATCATGTGGAATAAAGCCATCGAGCTGTAAGTGTGCCCCTTCCGAGCCACCCCACGCCACCCCCCACGAGGGGCTATTGTACGATATTTTTAAATGAGGGACAAAAGAGGGGCCAACCTTATCATTACCCAATGATATGTTAGGAGTTGGTGAGTGACAGGTGAGGGAGCCAATCAGCTTTCGGTGTCCCCGTGACCTCGTCCTGCCCATATTATGGCCCAGGAGTAGCGCTGCTCTCTCTCTGTGTTGAAGTGATTTTAGCATGTAGAGCAGGACGGGTAGAATGTCATGGCGCAGGCAGTCCATATGCAGACCACACGCTTGACAGGTCTGGCTGGGTGGGGCACCCATCAACCAGACGTGAGCAGATGTAACCCCGACCCCAACCAAACACAACACACTGCGTAAATTATTCAGTAAAGTTTTGTGGCAGCTGCCGGTAACTTCTGGGCCGGTCACTCATTCTGTGAGTCGTCACACACACATACGCACGCACACAAGCTCACACACACACGCAGGCACAATTACCTCATTGCACCTGGTGACACACCCACAGCGACGGTGCGTAAATTGACTCACAATCTTGCAGCCAACTGCGCCTTTAATTCCGGGTTTTCCCGCGGGGGTGACAGTTGAAACGTTTCCAGCCTGTTACATCAGAGCCGTTTTATCAGCTTGATGGATCCGTCGGCCCGGCAGACGTGCTGTCACATTAATCCCGAACCCACGCAGGCCCTGGAGCACCTGAGCCGTCGCTGTTCGATCCCCCCCCAGCGCATGGTTAATCCCTACACCCTCAACACCTGGCCCTGCCCTCGATGTAGATTACGCAGGATTATGGTGACAGTGAAGTGGTTAAGGCCGCAGACTGCCTGTCATTAGAGGACAGAATCGAGGAAGGAAATGTGAGGTATCGTGAAAATGGGGGGGGGCTACCTTCAGGTGGGCTATTATGGGGCCCCAATACCGCCAAACTGCAGCCGAATAAAACATAGAGTCAAATCTTCTCTGAGTGTATCTGGACGTACCTCAGCCATCACCTGAAGAAATGTCTCACATTTGCAGTCAGCCAGTCCGTGTTTTTGCACGTTGAATCCCCATGTGCAAGTAATTGTTGGTTCGCTGGTCTGGTGGGATATCAGTGCCTTATACGTGTGTCGGCCACGACCAGCTCCGTCGACAGATGAATTTAGCAACGGCACATGGAGACGTGAAGCATGAACTAGGCGTCAGTGGAATGGGATGTGTTTCTATGCCTGTACTCCGTGTTTTCATCGCGTGTTCAATGTAGGGCCTGGATATTTCCCCCGCCGGGAAGCTGGGGACAGGTTGTCATAGGGATGCCAGGGGTGGCTGGAAGCGTCACCATGGAGATGGGTCCCGTGCATTTCGGCTCCACTGTGTCCTGCCGTTTGAAAATCCGCTGCACGATTCGGGAGTTCATGCTGGTGCCGTCAAGATGGCGGCCATGGGGCGGAGTTTAGCGCTGGTGTGACCTGTGATGCCGCTGCTCTGAACGTTTGCCAGAGCAGACGATGGGCGATGATGAGAGCGGAGAGGGCTGATGGGCGCATGGCGTGACAGGCCTAAAGGAGAGCTGCGAGTGTCTGCGAAGAATGTCGCCTCGAACTGCCATCTGCATTTATGTTCAAAAAATTACTTTATGAATCTGTCATATTACTGAAAAAAACAGTTCAGCTAAATTGTAATTTGCCCTTCAGAATTTCACTTTGTTATACAACCCTGGTTCTCTGTGTACTGTTTGATAGTTACTTACAATAAGAGCACTGCTACTAATTGCTAATTCTGAAGAAACAGCAAACTGACAGTAATGAGTCCTTGTAAAGTAGTTTTGGAGTTTACGGCACCTAGTAGATTTTGCTGAGTTGTTTTTTTTTTTGCTTAATTACAGAGACTGAAGTCTTGATTGTGAAGTGATTTATCATCACTCAAATGCATTTCTGTTATAAATATTTCCAGCAAACAAAATGGCCTGTACATTAGGCAAACGTCAACGTAAACAACAAGTCCGCAGTAAAATGCAGAGAATGTGCCAGAATACACACAAAGAACTGTACTGCAGGATATCATTTATCTGCACACACTGTGAATTATGATTGAAGTTTTGCATTCAGTTGCTAGCATATGAATTGTAGAGCCGACGGGATCCAAAAAAAAAAATCAAGCAAGAACAAATTCAACGAATCCCACACAAATCGGAAAGTGGTACGAACTGGTCAAGTGCTGGGATTTTTCCTGTTCCTCAATGGAACAGTCAGGCTGTGCCTTCTTTGGGTCACTTCAGTGCTGGTGACGTCATGCAGCCGCCCCCTCAGTTGAGCGTTGCCCCCTACAGGTGTGTAATTGCCATTGCGGGTGTTTTTTTTTAGATTTGATAAGTTTCACTGTGCCACTGAGGATACTCATATACTCATATGTCCCTTTCTGGTTAATTATAATGTGTGTGAAGTACAGCCGTTTTTAGTCATTTCTTTGAGTTGGTCTTTTGTCAGATCTTGGATTGGGGGGGCGAGGACTGTATAAGGCATAACTTCTCAACTCTGACAGCGTCAGTATAAAAGGCATTCTGGAAGGTAACTTTCAAGCACCGACTGTCACTGAGAGCTTTCTTAGCATTTCTGACAGTCCTTGGGGGATGGGGCACTGTGGGGGTGGAGGGGGTTTTGCCCGTGAGATTCACGCTCAGCATCTGCTGTGCGTTTTGCTGGAACCGTAGATGGGAGAGAGAGGTGTTTCCCAAATGGGAGGGGGGGCTGCGGCCCGTGTTGTGGAGGAACGCAGACCTGCTGGCTTATCTCGATGTGGCCGCGCCGTCAGACGTGCCGATTCACCGGTGGCCGTCGTTTGCAGCAGGAATGTAAACACACACACACTCCCAGCACCGGGATTCAAAAGCCGGTCAACATCTGTCCCTAACCTGCCGGGGCTTATCTGCATGACTCACGTGTAACATCCTTTGCTCTGACCATATTGCGTCAACTGGTCAACATGCTGCCCGACAACCCCCCCCCCCCAGCCCACTGCTCTGCTGCATGGTCACATGGGAAAAATTCCTGAAGGTCGAGAAGTCTGACCTGTGACCTGTGTCCTTCCGGCAGTCCCGAATGGCAGTGACCACATGCCCGCGGCCCATTGTACAGGAAGCACAGCTTCTTGGGACCGCAGGTGCCGCTAACTCTCCAGGAACAGATGGGATCTGGGTGTAATTGCTGCCCGTCCGGAGTCATCGTTCATCGCCCCTGATCGCGAGGAAAAGGCAGAGGCTGCGCTTTCATTAAGCCGCCTGCCGCTGCTGCCTCGCGACGGTGTTTTCCTTAATATATGTCGCCATTTGCGCCTTTCCTGAACAAGCCCAGATCTGTCGGAAGGGGCCGCGCAATTACTGCAGGCGTAAATCTGCATGTAGATGCGCTGCCTTCACTGATGTGTGAGCTGCAGATTTAGTGGGGGGGGGGTGCCGTACCGCTTGTGACATTGTTTTTGTTGTTAATGTTGTTTGCTTTTCATATCGATTCGCTTAGCCAGCTCCCCTCCCCCTCTCCCAAAACGTCTTACATGGCTGCAAATGTGGCAGTTCATTCGATAACCCGGCCGGATGTATTACCTGCACGCTTCGCACCCCAAGTCTCTCCTGGGGAGTGAGCTTGCAGTTTGAGCCCTGTGCCAGTCCCGGCACCTTGGCAGCACACAGCCACGGAGACTTCCGGAGTTCGTGGTTCCGGTTTCCATGACGTTCTCACCGACTAACTTCGGCAGGCCCTGCGTCACCGGCCACGTTCGTCCCAGCGTCCTGTTCCCCCGCGAGGTTCGTGTCCTCTGTTGCCGGCGCCAAACCCACCGAGCTCTCCGAGGTGACTCAGTGTCTGAGTCACAGTGGGAGATGCCTTCTGCGACATGTGGGGCGAAGCCCATGCAAATTCCCTGCGATGCAGTGCATGCTGGGAGCGCAACCCACTGGATTCCTTCACACTGGTCCACTGCAAAGCAGGCACACACACGCACACACACACACAGCAAGCTGCTCAGGGGCAGAGACGACGTTAAGTATTAGAGACCCCCCGACCCCCCTTTGAATGACACAAAGCCCCCCCGCAATGCACTGCTCACCTTCATCTGCCTGTCATCTGTCCCCCTCAGAAAAACATAAATCAAAACAAGGCAAAATAATGGACGGGGGGGAGCAAAGGCGAGATTCAAGTGCGGGGCCACACTCATGCACATGGGCCCCAGCGTGCTGAACCGTGTCCCTGTCACTGCATCCCCGTCGCTCACTCTTACCTGCGTGTGCCGACAACAGGCCACATGGCGCCCGGGCCGACTCGCCTTGGCTCCTGCCGGGCTTCCGTTGCCATCTCCAGGGTGGGATCTCTACAGACCATAATATAAAGGCGAGTTCAATAAAGCGCGAACATGCGTACAGAATGAGCTCTGCTCACGGTTCATGGTGGCAGGTAGGAGATTTAGCTGCATGAAACTTGCGACGGGCTTCTTGGGTCTGCTCTGCCCTTTATTAAACATCCAGGCTACACCCCCTCACATTGCCCCGCCTCCTTCTCTTAGCCCCACCCTCTCGGTCCCGCCTCCAGGCTTGAGAGGCGAGGCCGTGCACGACCCCCCAGGCCCAGCGAGCCTCCCCAAACCGCTCTGCTGATTCGCAGGCTCCGTCTCCACGGCAAACTTCATTTACGGCTATTTTTAGCGCCACGGTGATATAGGTTAAAAATTCATGTGCTGCCGTGGGGCTGTTCCTGAGAGTGTGGCCCCATCGCTCCGGCCGCGAGGGACGCATGTGTCGCCTTACACTCCCGCTAAGTGCGCTAAATGCTGGAGAGCCTTCTGAATGGGCCGGACCCGAAACCCGGCGCCAATGCGACACTCTTACGGTCCCGGCTCCCTCCACCTGGCTTTTTAATTGGTACCTCAATGTTTCCCTGACTTAATTTGCTCGGGGGGGGGGGGGTTATGTTAATCCTGCTTGGAAGGGCTGGTTTTGTCCTGTCGTTCTCCTGCATGTCAGAGGGCGGCTGTGATCGGCCGGTGAGGCAACACGGACACGCAGGGGGCAGATGCGGGCGATACACAACCACGCAGCCCGTAAATGAAAGGTCGCAGCGCCACCTAGAGGCTGCCTTTCCCCTGTGGTTACCCGCAGTTAGCCTGTTAATCTATCTCCAAACGATGGGCTGCTGCAGGCTTTGGGGTGGTTCTGTCAGGCTGCTCGCCGCTATTGGAAAACGATTAAGGTCGTTCATGCGCTGCCCCCTGTAGGAGCCGCTCGGGGGGGTACATGGAGCAGAGAGATCAGGGAAAATATGTGTTACACGTTTAAAACGTTTTATATGTTTTTTTTTCCTTTTTCCCCCTCTTTTTTCCTCCTTGGCTAGGCTTCTGTATTTATGTCGTACAGAATCTATCCCAGGCTCCATAAGGCATTTGAACCCATGTCAATTTTAAAGGCGCTATATCAAACCAAATACCAGGCTGTCGGCACCTCGATTTAAAGCCGCGCAGTCATGCATGTCACCCCGCACCCACCACCGTGCGAGGCGTGTCCCACCACCGTGCGAGGCGTGTCCCACCACCGTGCGAGGCGTGTCCCACCACCGTGCGAGGAGTGTCCCATCACTGTCTTCCCAGCATGCCCTTTCTCTCCATCCTTATCATTTTACTGACCTTCTCT